AGCTATGAAATATTTAGCAGAAGATGAAATAATGTGTATTCCCTAAGAAATTACTTACTTGTCACATATACTTCTACCTCCACAGTTTAATTTGCCTTCAATAACGTTTCCTTAACTAAGAGCCCCATTCACAACTAAGAGCCCCATTATGGCCTCATGCTGGGGTGGTCAGAGTCATTGTTAATGGTTCAGTGGAATCACCACATTAGACTGCCTTTAGGGAAGAAACAGCTAAATTTAACTGTGCAATGAAGATTAATCTTTGCACTCCGAAACATTTCTCTAATAATTGAGAGAAGCAGCAAATGTCAGGAAGACAAAAAATATTAAGAGGTAACACTTGGTTCAGCTGCACTTCAGAATGAAGTTATCAGCAAATGCTCCAGAACACATCATAGTTCAAAATGAAAATAATTTTTAAAAACCTTACCTTGTTTATAGCACACCTTTCTGCCAAAACAGCCATTATTCCATTGTGTTCTCACAAAAATCCTTTAAAGATATTGCAAATATTGCCTTGGATTTGGTGAAAAAAACTACCTGCCCTTGATGGAACATGGTGGAAGGGGACAAAAAAAGTCCCTAAAAAATCCTAAAGCTATTCTGACCTCCTAGATGAAAAACAGCACAAGAACAATGACCAGTTCCCAAAATGTTGACATATTACAACACAACATTAAGGAAAATGAGAACAGCACACAAGAGAACACTTTGAACTACAAAAGCAGCAATTCATTCATCAGAGTTTTGGGATAATTGATGTCACTGCACAAGGCTGAAACACTGCACACAAACCTGACTAACCACATTCAAGAAATGCTGGAACAAGACTTGAGAAGAGGGACCACGGCAACAGAGAACTTGTAATGGGAGACTAAAGAAAGCTGGTTTGTATAGTCTAGTAAACAAAGATGGAAAAGGGACTATTGCCTATAAATAGGTCAGGGCAACAAACATCAGTGCAGAGTCTATTTCAGGCAGAAGGCAGCTCTGGAATAGAAATAAATGGATGAAGACTAACTTTAGATCTGAAATCAGAAGCAGCTATGCAACCATTAGGCCCAGCAGTGGACTAGAGAGTCAAGAGGGAAACCCACCTACTTTAAGATGGATATGGGTCAGCTGATGACATTAAGAGGGTTTGTGACAGCAGGAGATTGACTCATCCACGCAGGAGGATCTTTTTTTAAGAAAACTTGCATGTTCCTATTAGCTGACTACTTGCACATCTTTCTTCCAAACCAAGTGATCCTCCCCACTGGCCTTCTAGCAGTGAAGGCCTCACTTCCTCTCCAGGGTACAAGCAAGTACTTTTAGAGAAGGAAATGTGCTCACAACATGCAGCTTCTCACACCCTTCTGCTTCCACAGTAGGACTGCAAAGAGACCCCCTGAATCACCCTGGGCCATGAAATATAGTTCAGTCTCGTAATGGGAAGTAGGAGAGGAGGGTCTCCAAAGATTAGTGACAAACTTATGGTGCTTTACCCTCTACAGCAGTAGAGTTGTAGAGTGATTAGGCATACTAGATAGTGAATTCCAGCTGCAAACTGCATCAAGCTTAGACTTTTTAAGAAAGCAGATAGGAATGGTTAACATCAAGTGATGACTCCTAGTCTCTGTGGATCCTCATTTCCAAATGAAAGCCTGAACTGTGTTTTGCAAGCAGGTGGTAATGTTCTCTCCCTGCACTTTGACTGATTCAAAGTCCGATGAATGCAAACACCAAAACATTAGCAAGCACTGCTAAGCAGCTGTGGACAGTCAACATGCTGGCTTAGCATCGCACTGGGCTCATGTGGTCCCTTTCACTTGGACAGCTTCTGTTATGTTTGTCAGCACAATCAACTTGTCTTTAGTTTCTCCACTTCATCTCAGTATTAGCCTACAGTGCTAGCCCTGGCAAAGCAAGCACAGTCTCTTACCTTTCTTGGCCTTCACTTTGGACTGTTTGGCTCTCATCTCTTGAAAAGGAAAGTGGGAGAGGGTGGGAGGTGAAATTTAAGACAGCAAGCTGTTTGCAAGAAACCCCCCCAGCTGTGACATAAGCAGTATAACCCTTCACAACATGAAAAACAAAGTTTTTTTCCCCTGCCCTTTCAGAATGTCATTGACAATGGCACTATAGGAGTAGCATGTATTGAACACACCAGCAGAAATCATCAGTATTGCCTTCATTAACTCTTTCCATTGCTATACCACATGACATACCAATGAAACAGAAGAGGTGCCAAGAAGCAGAAGCAAGTTTTTCCTGAATTATTTTCCACTGAGATAATGTGTTCCTAAATGTCTCTTAACCTAATGTACCATGTCATAAACCTAATGTTAGCAAAGAAGGTACATAAACTGTCAGAAGAAAATTCAAGGCACATGCACTAAGTTACCACCAATGATCTCCATGCCATACTATTAGATGTAAAGACCATGTAAACTGATCCATTAACATGCTCCTAACAGATGGTTCAGAGATACTTTGCTGGGAGAACCAATGTAGCTTTCTCAAAAGATGGAGGTTAATACATTCCGCTTTTTACCATATGAGCCTTAAACAGGACTTTAAAGTTAAACCACTGTGTCACAGTGAGGGGAAATAAAGCTTATTTCTAGAGGCATCTTATAGTAGTAATGCTAACGATCCAATAGCTCCATTAGATTTTGCATTTTTGTGTTACATGCTTATGCTTTAAACCGTTTTTTCTCTTAAGAACTCATGCTGAAGCTGTGTGTCTACCAAGTATAGGAAATATCGTGCAAATACTCAAACATCCCACAAGTCTTGTGAGTACTTTGTTTATAGGATTTCCTATGTATTTGCAACAAGCTTTTATTAGAAGACCACATACCTCAAACCAGGAACAGAGGAACTATCATTTAGCCATGCCAGAATACATGCATACGTGTGTATATATATGTACTTCTTCCACCAGCTTCCTTATACAGTTACCAAAAGCACACTGACCCATTTTCTTAGAAATGCTTACCAGCTCATCTCTGGTTCTGATGCAACAAAACTTTGTTAGTTTTGTCCTAACTATTGCTGCCCTACAACAACACAACACTTTGACCTTGTAGCAGTATGCCCCATCACAAGATCTCCTAAATTAGAAGAGGTTCTCCAAGCTTACATGTGCTTAATGGACGCCCTTTGAAGTATCACAGTTACAACAGGTTATTCTATTTTTTCAACTGAAATGACTCTCAAACAGTAAACAGAGGCTGAGAAGATGAGGAAGTGAAGGCAGTGCTTTGTACTGCGCCCAGGAGGACCTCTACTGGTTGCCTTGGTTGGCTAGAGCTACTCCAAAATGGACCTAGTGCATTCTCACACCAGAGCTACCACAGCAAAAACCAACACCACTGCGATGCTTCCTGGCAACACAGGATCTTGGCACAGAGCTGAGATCGACCCTTTAGACTCTTCTGCTTAAAAGAGATGGGTTTGTTTTTTTTCTCTTCACTGAAGTCAAGACAGAAGTTTCTTCGATTTAAATTGATATCAAGATCTAAATTCTCAGACAGCTGGTTAGTAGCTGCCACCCTACCCCAGCCTGGTAGTTCTTCAAGTTATGTGAACCTCTGTCCCCAACAAGAGAATATCAGCCTACCCTAGTTTTCATCTGCATCATGAAGCTATAGAACACTACATTTCTATGATCTATGAGAAGTGTCATGAACTTTTCTGGACCACCTGCAAGGTCCAGAAGATCCCTGCTACAGAGCTATTCTTGAGTTTTGGCCTAGAGAGGAATTCAGCAACAAGCAGCCTGCAGATGAGCTCATTGTACCTTAACCCTGCCAGCCCTGTAAGTGTGAGAGTTTCAGAGCAAAAGGTGATTCCATAGAGAAATAAGCAGCCACTCTTTAGCCAAGAGATGTTTGGGGGTCGTTTTTTTTTCCAAAAGAAACATTCATACCTGTTGGATACCACCAGATTTCAGAGTAAGCCAAGACAACCAGTGTTCACGAACATTACTGGCTCACCACCTAGGTATGGCAAAATCTCTTCAGCATCTGCTGCATTCTTGGCCACTTTTACCTACTACTGATTTGCAGCATAACACAAGTTCTGTGCTCTTCTCACCCCTGACAAATGTCAGCTGCTTCTGGGCAGTGGGTATTCCACAATGGATAAGGTCATTCATGAGCACCACCACAGAAGTGCTAGTAGGAAAATTTGGCATCTCATACAGCACAGGTTGTTCTCATTCTTTGGACAAATACCCCTTTGCTAGAAAGGCCCAAGAATGGTCCTTTTCATACCCCCCTCTCTGCTAGTCACAGCCCTGAGGCAAAGTCCTGGGGTAACAGGAATAAAAAAGAAAGCAATTCTTTACATATGCCAAGTATCTGCTCCACAGCTATGCAAACCAGGGGCGTCCCTAAAGCAAGCTTTCCAACTGCCAGTTCAGGCTGTAGCCACATGCACTATGACAGAACTGCAGTCACAAATACTTATTCACCTACAAACATATTGACCACTGACCAGGCTTGAGCACCCCACAGTGGATATGCTCTGGAGGCCAGAAACCAGTTTACCAGCATAACAATGTTGATTCCCAGCTGGTTAAAAATCACAGCTGGGGTCAAACTATGCTTAATTACACAGCGTAGCAAGAAATTGACACCTCGGTAAACATCTCCTTCTTGCAGTCAGAAATAACTGTAACTGGCAACTGCTTTTCTCCTCTCCCCACCTGAAGCACACCAGGAGCACAGCCCACATGTACACCTGTTTCAGTGCATGTAAAGCAAACACTGTCTTACAGATGGAGAGAAAAGTGATTCTTCTAGTGAGCAACTGCTCTCTAAGGCACACTAAGGTAGTGCTGAACAGGAAGGCCTGAGGTTGCTCTGCGGTGTGACTGAGCAGCCAGTCTGGCAAGCGTTGGTCAGGTCACTCCAGAGACACAGCATGCCCTTCCCTAGGAAGAGAGCATAGCCAAAACCCCATTCTACCCCCTTCTCGGTAAAAAGCAAACAGATGAAGATTCCTCCTACCTGAACTCAGGGAGGAGGTTCGGCCGAAGCCCATAGAAAGCCGCTGAGAGAGTCACCAGCCAGCCGGGTTTGTAATTCCCATTCTCACACTCCAGGTAAGGCGAGGACCACCTGATGTGGTTCTTATCGGCAGTGAAGCTCTCCCATCTCTTCCAGCTGTTCTCTAAAGTTCTGGGCCCCGTGTTCAAGACCTTCCTATGCAGATGTGGCCTCCACTTGCGCTTCAGGCTGTGGAACCACTCCGTTTCCACAGAGGCGTTGGCCAGGCGGTGAGCCGAGGAGGATAAGTCCTGCAAGAGGACTTGGCTCTCGTGCCTGCTGGCCTGAAGGAAAACCTGGGGTGTGGAGGAGAAAGGCTCCGTGCTGAAAGTGATAGCTGCCCTGGAGATGTTGGGGTCCCCCTCCAGGAGGCTCCTGATCAAGGCGCGGTACCACTCCAGGTCCTCCTGCAAGTTCTGCTCCCGCGACTTATTGCTCTGGAGGATCATGTTGAGAAAGTTGGTGGCGTGGGTGAGGGTGTCCAGGGCCCCGTGCAGGGACGGGTGCGAGGTGAAGCGCGACTTGCCGGCCAGGCTGGCCAGCTCATACCGCCCGGAGCAGTTGGCACGCCCCAGCTCCCGGGAGTCACCCGTGTAGAGGAACGAGGCCACGTCCTGGGGTACCTCCTCAGCGAGCCGCTGCGCCAAGATGGTGCTCGCCGTAGAGCGGCTCCGCGGGGCCGGCGGAGGCTCCCGGCTCTTGATGTGGTTGTAAAGAGGCTGTCTCCCTCTAAGTGCCCAATCCTGGCTGCGCACCGCCTGCCCTTCGCCGGCGGCGGCCCCGAGCCCCCGCTGGGCGAGGAGCAAGAGGAGAAGGAGCCGAAGCAAAGCCATGTCCCCCGGCGCTCCTGCAGGCGCGGCGAAGTGGCTGAAGACGGGCTTCGCGCAGGCGGCCGCGGCGCAGGGGGCACGAACGCGCAAGGGCAGCCGAGCGGCAGCGGGGCGAAGATCGACCCCGGGCCCGCGAGTCACCTGTGGCAGCGCCGCCCGCGCCTTCCCCAGCGCGGGTCGCCGCGCAGCCCCGCCGCCGGCGCGGAGCGGCTCGCAGCCCCTCCGGCGACGGCAGCGGCCGCAGCGAGCCCGTCTGCGCCTCCTCCTGCCGCGGCCACCGCGCTCACTGAGCTGCTGCCCAGCGCAGCGAGCAGGGGCGGCGGCGCCCGCGCCCGGCGCAGCGCAGGGTCCCCCCGCGGCGCCCCGCCGCCGCCCGCGCTCCACCACTCCGCATCCTTCAAGAGCTGCTGCCGAAGAGGGGTGACCGGGACTGCTACTTGCTGCGGGATCAGCGGGCGGGGCTGCTGCCGCGGAGCCTGCGGGCGAATGCCCGCCTCTGCCAGCGCTCGGCTCCCCGAGCAAGGACTCCCACCTAGGTGAGACTGCTCACCCTGCAGCTCCGCCGCGGGCAGCTGGGCTCCTCTTCCCCGCCTGCCCTTATAGGTGTACGCCGGGCAGCTGCCGCCCTGTGTGGCCGCCTCGGCTGTCAGTCAGCCGGCAGCCATTCACGGGCAGGAGGATGGCGCCGTGTGGCGCTGAGGGGGGGCGGTACTGCCGCCGCGGAGAGACGTCGAGGCACCTCTCTTCACCTGCCGCCGGCTCAGCGCGGGGCAGGACGGGGCGGGGTGGGGTGGGGGGTAGCCTTCCCCCGCAGCGGCAGCCGCTCCGCTTTCCCCCCGGCCGGGACCCGCATACGAGAAGCCTGCCCGGAGCGGGTGCCACAGCGCTGGCTCTGCCGGGGCCGGGGCTCTGCGAGGGGCTTGCCCGGGGAGTGTGGCAGCGACACCTGCTGGCCGGGCGAGGGTCGCGCCGCTGCGCCTCCACGCCGGGGGCGGTAAGGGCCGTGCGGTGACCCCTGTGGCTGTAAGAATTCCCCCGCCGTGGGGCACAGGAGGAGCCCGGCGCTCCGGGGAAGCGCGGGTGCAGCCATAGCCTCGCAGTGTGGGGTGGTGTTTGTCCTCCCCTATGAGGGAGGCGCGCTCGCTTCAGACAGTGCTGAGGTGGGTGGGAGGGTTGGTATAAGTCTGAGCTTCGGTTTCCCTCGGGAGGCGCGGGTCGATCGGGGTGCACCGCGAGGGAGGAGGAAGGCGTTTGGCAGAGGGTGTGGCGCTCGGGTGGGAACGGGGAACTTTGTCTTTTCCCGGCCCATGACCCAAATGCCCCCATCGTGTGCAGGTGCTGCCACGATCCCCAGGCTTCTTGCATGGTCTGTCCCCCGTCACCTCACACATAACCCAGAATGGCCCATACACAGGGTACATCCCACCATAATGGGAACTGAGTCACGTCCCTCTCCCTTCAACCACAGTGGCTGGCTGATTGTATTTCTGTAACCAAAACCTTTCCTCCTTTTTTCCTTTCCTCCTTTTTTAACTCCAAGATGATAATTCCTACTGCTGTCTTCCAAACTAAGCAAGCCCTTAATCCAGTGGCTTTCAATGCTGACCTGCAGAGCACCTGCGTGGAGTTAAAACAGCACTGGTTGATCACCTAGGTTTGTCACTTGCTCTGCTGAAACCACCCTTGAAAAAGCACAGATGCATTCAAGAGGTTGTTGGGATTTTCCAGATAAGCCGTGAGTCATAGTGCCATCATGATCAGTAATATGGATCTAGTTTGCAGAGCACCTAAACAGATGTTTAACTTTGTGCATCATCATTGGCAGAAGTATTCACCTGCTTGATATCTTACTGTTGGTGAGGGGTTTGTGGCAAGAGGCAGGTAGACAAGGCTGAATTTTTAGAGGAGGAGGCCCGCAGCAAAATCTTCTAATTACAATTAATTCAATTCTGGCTTAATATAAAGCTCAATTTTGAAATTCAAAAGTGCAGATGAAAATAGTTGTAAAAAGAAGATCCTCTTTTTTTCTTTCTCCCACACACACATGTGCATGCGCATCCTATAAGGAGCAGATTTCAGTCATGCAAAATATATGATCTAATTTTAAACCACTGACAAGATGTGCTCCTTAAAGCATACTCTTATTTTAGAATTATTTGAAACTATACTTAAAGGAATGGTCATTCTAATACAGCTAACTATAAATCACATTTGCAATCCATAAATCCTAGTGATGTGAATGCACTTTATCTTTACATAGGGTGACCTTTAATAATTATAGTATCACATGTGGATAAGAGAGAAAGTTATAAATGCGCCTTTTTTTCTTGTTACATGCAGATGATGAGGATATTCACTGCTTAAGAATAACTTACTTGTTCTGAACTTTCTCTCAAGTGACTAGTCTGTGAGATTATTTAGAAAGCACATACACTTAGCAACTCAGAAGCTGATATTTATGGTTTAGCACAGCGCAGGGAGTCTGTGTTTCCAAGTCTGCACTGAACAAATACCTAAAGATGCATTATTTGCTGTGGATAAGCGAGAACCAGGGCTTTTGACAGGAGCAGCTGTCAGGACTGAGCTAAACTAACATGGGATCAGTTACATGGGGAGATATCAATGGAAACATAAACAAACAAGCATTTTTTTTTTAACGGTGTGCCTGTGCTGATTCTCTTTACTGACTGTCACAGGGTGCTCTAAAGGAAAGGTCAGTTCCCTGATGATAATTCGCTTCCCCTAATGTAGCCTGACTATTAATATCCATCTAAACTGCACTCAGCCTGCTAAATGGCCACATTCACACATTGCTAGGACAATAAAAAATCCTTTAATGTAGCTGCATAGGAAGCTCCTTCTATTTCTTGACCTCAGAAAATCATATCATAGAATGGTTTGAGTTGGAAGGGATCTTAAAGACCATCTAGTTCCAAACCCCCTGTCATGGGTAAGAACACCTTCCACTAGACCAAGGTTGCTCAAGGCCCTGTCCAACCTGGCCTTGATCACTGACAGGGATGGGGCAGCCACAGCTTCTCTGGGCAATCTATCTGAAGAGGTAAAAGGCTCTTCTTCCTGTTACCTGTTTCCTCTGTGCTTGTGCTCTCTGTAGTACCGAGTCAGAGAGGGAGGAGGAGAGGTTAACTAGAGGACTTTCTTATTAAGGGTGCCAGGTTTATTGCTCAGTCTCATACAGCTGCATCGCAGAGGGTTCAGTGAGCCTTTCTTTATCGTCTCAGGCTCCCTCCTGCAATCAGTTCAGATCTGCTCTCTATCAGCTCTTGTGTACAGCCAGGACCAAAGTAAGGTACAAACAGATTTTAAGCCATTGCAGATGTGCATCTCCTTATGGCTTTGTAAAAACTGTGCTGTGGGACACAAAGCCCACCATTCAGTGCTCAGATCCAGGGCACTGGGAACATGGAAAGATAGTACCCTCTTACATTAAGGAAATCTACCAGGCATTTTATTTACAGGAGTTTACTAAGGATTGGAAGAAACGTAGAAACCTTTGATCATTGTATTTTTTTGTTAATACTGAAATGCAGTGATGATGCTGGTGTGTCATTTATAGTCAGTTGACCATGTCAGGAACCTGTTCAGCTGTGACCAGTAAAATGTGAAAATGGACTGGGAGTCCCTGAGACACACAATTGCTGTGACTGAATAATGTTTTCTTTGTTTCTGCCTCAGTTCTTCCAGAGCTGCTGCTTCAAGCCATCCACCAGCAAGGAATCGAGGCATCTGGCCACTGTCCTGCATACTTCTGAGTTTTTACAACTATCACAATTGCTGCATGCAAAGTACCTGTGATTCATTGTATTACCTATCAGGCTAGAAGTCTGCATTTAGATGTGGCCGGAGCTAAATCTGGAGTCTAATTACAGTGTAGAAAAACTAGCAGTGCAAAATGTTACAATTTTTTAACAGCTAGAGTAAGTGTAACCTACTTTCTCCAAATGTTGTCTATACAAAAAGATCTTGGTTTATCTGAACTATTTGCAATGCTAGAAGCATCAGGATTACTGCACTCTTAAAATCAAGTGGAATGAAGGAAAGACTGTTGTAGCTGTGAAATGTATTTAATTTATTAAATATTTATTATTATTTGTCCTAAAGTATTTATTAATATTTGTCCTAAACTAATTAGGTGATACAAAGAGTATACTCACTAAGAGTAAGTTCTAAAATTCTGAGAATGATGTATTTTATTTCTCTCACAAAACAGAAACAGAATGTTCATCAAAATCATTGCTAATGGTATTTAAAAACAGATGAAAAAGAGAGTGATTTTAAAATAAAAGTACTCTTAGCTTGATTACCTAAAGAAATAATGTTCTTGCAATCATATTTTTGTCTGTCTGATGAGTCCCTTCTGTCTGCCAATAGCTTCTGATCTCATTAGTTAATTTCAGCTAAGTCTGACAGCATTACAAAGGCCTCAAAGTTTCTATAAGCTTCTACAAATCTTGTGAAACTCACATGTGGATCAAAGAAAGCAATCCACGTTAGTATTTGTGCTGCAGAGTGACTTCAACAGTTACACGGTCTCTTTGTTCTTTCTTCTGGCTGCTCATATTGGCCAATTGCATAAATATACCCCAAAAAAACAGCTGGAACACATGGACAGACTCCCCGCTCAATAGACAGAGAACACCTAACAGGGCTGGTGGGGGAGAACTCAAAAAGACAAGGAGGAGCTGGAGGTACTGTTGATGGTGGGCACCGTGCCATGAGGCTTTAATATATGATGCAAAGAACACATGGGGGCTGGGAGATATGCTGGATTTATTGCAGGAGACAATGACAGATAGTGAGCATGAATCCGTTGTAAACCAGGCTTCATTAGTTCTCTTTTTTTTTCCTCTCACAAATGAGGTAAAACCACCACCTAAACATATAAATAAATAAATAAATATGAAATAGCCAAAATGCAGAGTACAAAACTTCTTTCTTAGAAGCTGATGGAAGAAGATGGAAGAGCTTACATGTAAATTAACATTCACTTGTAGTGAGAAATTGAAACCCACTGGATATTTTCTTGGAAACAGTGGGACAGAAGGAACCTCACATTGGTTACCCTGTCAGCACTCCTGCACTGCAGAAGCATTACATACAACACGACCGTCTCTGGCAGGAGTTTATCTACCTTCTCTCAGAGAACTTCCAGTCAGGTGGACTCCACAGCCACCCTAGCTACCTTGTTCCAGGTTTCGTCCCCTTAGCACCAAGTGTAGGGTGAGGGGGGTCTCTAACATGGTCAGTCTTCTTTATTTTTCTTTGTTTCTTTGCTTTCTTCTCAGAGTACAATCAACGTAAGCCAGTATCTGTCTGCCAAAGACCACTTTGACTTACTCCTTTTTTCTTTTTTCTGGGCTAAATTAAGTGAATTTCTATGCTTTCTAAAACTGTTGTGGGCCTTCTGTTCTCTTCTGGACTGTCCATTTTGTTAGCCTGTTTCTCTTCCTGTCCCAGGCAAGGACACAGCAAGCCTGCTATGAATCTTCTGCAGGCTATGTAAAATTCTCTGTTAATACACCCCACATTGAGGCTTGCCTGCTTTTTCACCTTCCGCACTGTACTGACAACTACTCAAGTCTGTAACGCTATGTAATCTTCATAACCTTTCAAAACATATTGCTTCCTAGTTATCCATTTTCTTTTTTTTTTATTTGAGGATTTGAGCTCTGCTGCTGGGTAGTAATTTGCACCTGTATTTGCTGAATTTTACCTTACTGATTTTTCAAGATTATCTTTAATTCCTGTTCTGTTCTTCAAAATGCTTGTAACCATCTCTTTGTTTGTTGTAGTCATTTGCCTATTTTATCACCTTACCAAATTTGTTCATTGTGGCTGAGATCAGAACCCTTCAGGAACCTGCCTGAAATGTCCTCCTGGTTTGACAAGTGTACAACTGGTACTTACTTTTTGAGAATGACTTCAGAGGCAATTGCTTACCCACTCACGAGCTGCCTACACAGTATTTCCATAGCTTCCTGGTGAGAACCTCATGCTGAGTATGTAATGATTGTTGCTGATGTAGACATATAGCACATCCATTGCTTCATCACTATCCATGAGGTCAGTTATGAGTCAAATAAGAAAATTCAGTTTGTGTCATATGGAGTTTTCTTGACAATCCCATGTTGGCTGATTTTCATCAATTTATTATTTTCTACATGATTGCTACAATGTAGTTTAATAGTTCTTTTCTGAATCTTCTGGTGATATTTATTTCATGGGCTCCTTTATAATCTCTATGATCTCTTTTTCTGAAAATATGGAGTATGATTTTTTCCAACTTTAGAATCTTCCTCCGAAACACTTGGAATGGCAAGTGGTAGTTTATGTTTGGAAGAATCACGTCTTATCTCCAACAGAAAATGTTTTTCTAGATTAGGAGAATATTGTCTGTTAGACAACATATTGCTGGCTTTGACTCCTAATTGTTTATGGAGAACTTGCATCTGATATGCAGATGTATCTAATATGCAGATGCAGGCTCTGCATTTTAAATAAACACTATTCAAAAGCTTTATAAGCTTATCCACAGTTGGTAAAAGATATGGGGATGCTGAAGTAAAGGTTGCAAACACAGTTCAGTCTGCTTGTACTTTACAGACATGATTTGAATGTTGGGAAGCATTGCACACGTAGACTGAGAGCTGTTAATGCCTTGGGACTGTGGCAAGGACACACAGCATAATACACTTATGCCAGGGAAAGCAAAACTGCAACTAAGAGCACATACCAAAAGAAGTCAGACTGCTAAGACAGTTTCCATTAATTTCTTTATTTTAAATTAAAGCAAAGGTAAACCATAAACGTCTGTGGCTATAAAGGCAGAGGGCAATAAAAGGAATAAATAACACAGAGTGAATCCAGCTTCCCCATAATTTCCAGTATAAATGGTGTGCCAAATAAGAACATTAAGTGGGCAACACCCCTAATAACGGTAGAATAAGACTCAGTGCTGTATCCAAAAGGAGATAGTAGTGTTTCAAGCCATACATTACGAAGCCTAAAAGGCAGCCTAAATCCTCAGACCCTGTAGCAGAATGAATAGCTGAGCTCGACCTCTCAGCCATCTGTAGGAGAGCAGTAACAAGCATGGAGGAGCAGGACTATTCACTCCCCTGTTAATATGTTCTGGCTGCAGCAAGAGCAGCATTTGACTGCAGCCTCTCACTCAGATGGTAAAAATACTTCTTGTGCTTAGCCACTGAAATAATGTATTTAGATACAGATTAATAGATGTCTACTAAATCTCAGCCAGAGGTTGTGATATTGGTCACCTTCAAATTAATAGCCAGTGCCTAGAACATTTCAGTGGCAAGTAAGAGATGAAGGACCTTCCTAGCAAGAGCTTCACAATCACAGCTTTGAGAAGACAGCCCAACAGCAGACTGCCACCTTGTCAGGGCCAGAACAGAGTGAGCAAGAAATTAATAAAAGATAAATGCACAAAGACAAGGTAAAGGAGGAATCATCTGAAGAATAAAGTTAAAAAAAAAAAGCATCAAGAAAATGAAATCTCAACTAGCACATGCTATACTGAGTAGCTAAGTTTCCTATGAGTACCTTGCCTTCAGTAATGAACCCATTGATTACAATGAGCATCCTAATCAATACTGTGCTTTTGAACAGCTTAATATAATTCCTTCAGAACTATCAGGGAATTGCTGGATAAGAGCACAGACAAGGTGGGTTTCTTTGTTCTTTTATGACAAGAATAACATTCATAGTATTTCCAACAATACCTCAACAGAACTTTTATCAGGCAATAAATCATGAATGCACACTATACTGCCAAAGTCTTATCATCCTATCCTAATCCAGTCTGTACAGCAGTAAAATGCTGTCTGTTGTCTTCTTCCCTGGTTTCTCTCTTCTTGGAATTTAGGGTATGGTCAACTTTTTGGAACTTTCAAAGGTGTGACCAAAATACAACCGCATGGTGACTACTTTGGATTTAACTGTATGTCTGGACCCTTGGATCCAGATTCTTCCTCACAGTTATTCTACCAATGCCTTTTTTTTCCCCCAAATACATTCCAAAACTAAAATCATCTTGCCTTTGCTTCCAGTTACATAAAATAAATTGTCATCTGATGTAGATTAGCATATCTTTCCTGAAGCAAATGAAATTACATGAGTTTATATAGATAAGTATTTGCCCACTCGCCTTATATACAGAAGGCAAAATCCAGAATTCCTATTAAAATGTTTCAAAAACCTACATCCTGTTACATTTTGTTCTAAGAATCTGCAGATGTCAGCTAATGAAAATAAACTTCAAAGGGTGGAATTGTTTGAATCAATTGGAAGCTATCACAATCTCAAAATAAGTTCTGTTTGTAAATCGTTGTTTTATACTGTGTGGTTGAGTGAGTGTTAGCCTTTTAACAGCTCTGCTCTTTGATGCAGAGCTGTCCACTTGAAATAAGAAGAGCAGAAGCTACTGACTCTGGACCTCGAGGTCTGAGGCAGCCCTTCCTCATGCTTCCATGCTGATAAAGTATTCAAACAAAGCACTCAGTTAAGATGATGCTTTTCATTTTTTTTCTTGGAAAAAACAAGATTCCTTCAAGAACACCAGATTACCCTTCTGCCACATTCACAGTGAAGCCAAAGGCGAGATGTGGTATCTCCTCTGACTCCTATCAACAGTGAATGAGAAGGGAATACTAATGATATCAGAGAGGGAAGGAGAAAGAGGAGCCAGGGAAATTTCAGTTTCTGACTCTTTTTTAATAACTTGTAAGAAGAGAGGCTCTGCTTGACTATATGTCAGCCAGATTACACTCTGGAGGAGAAAGGTGATGTGCTGGAGGCAGCACAGTGAGGAGCGAGGGGAATAAAAATAAAGCCTCTTGTCATATGTACAGGCTCCAAAACATCCATCTTTTTATTTACGTAAACAGTTTTAATGGACAACAGGGCACACGGCTGGAGAACCATAGGGCAAAGTCTTCAACAGTCATACAAAATCTATAAAGCAAGGACAGCAGACAAGCAAGATTACACAGCCATTTCCCACTGTAGCATTGGGGTGGGAATTCTGTAGGGTTTATCTAGACTCAGAAATCCTCTGGCACTGCAAAGGGAGGCCTGACATGAAGAAATAAGGCAGACAATGGATAGGAATGGGCTGGCAAATAGACTTTCAGGTCTCCACTGAGATTGTCATCACTAGTGTCCTTTATTTGTGACTGTGACATTCATATATCCTCATGTGACCACTTGGACTTGTAGTGAGTAATGATGCACAGAACTACATCCTTCATACAGATGGTAAAGAGGTCTTTTGGGGCTAACAGCTTTTGGTCTTTGAACTCTGAAAAATATCC